TCGAGGGGTTGTGGAAGCAGCGGGAGGGGCACGTCCAGCTTGAGCACGCGCATGCCGGCGAGCCATGTTGGTGGGGTGCTGGGGGTGAGGTTGACGGGGATGAGGTGGTCCTTGCCGTCTCTGTGCTGGGTGTAGGCGCCGACGATGGTGAGTTGGAGCGGGGAGCGGGGGGAGAGGAAGGCGTCGCTGAGGTCGGTCGTTATGGCGAGTACGATCTTGACGCTTGCCCCGGCTCGGGTAATGTGGAGCTCGGGCGTGCGGCAGAAGCGGATGTAGTGCATTTTTGAAGGGTGAGGCAGTCGAATTCGCTGTCAATAGTGAGGTAATGATGAGTTTGATGTTGATGAGATGCAGGTTGCATTTTTTGAGTTTGAGAAAGTAGAGGGTTGGGGTTGGCGTCGAGTCTGGCACGGCTGGACCCATGGACGCCCCACAACCCCACTCTCCAGTTCCTCCACTCGAGATTCCGCGTCCATTTCTCACTCATCCCCCGCGTTTGGTAATGGAATCGACCCCCAGCCGATAAGCATCGGATTCTCATCTTCCCGATTAAACACTTTTGTCTCCAAGGGCCTCCAAGCCGATAACCCCCCCCCCCCGATGCCACCCGGTTACCTTCGGCCAGTGCCGACCTCCGGGCCATGGCTGGTAGAGAGAGGGATGTGTCATAAGGGACAGTGATCCTCGTCCTCCAGATCATCCAATTGCTTGATCAGTTCATCTCCCCAACACAATTATATCTTTTCAAACCTCACCATCACCACCACCGCCACCATGTCCGCTCCCAACCACTCCCCCACTACCCTTCTCTCCACCTTTCTCACCACCACCACCTCCCAAATCCTCCCCCTCACTCGTGCCGGCGTCTTCTCTGGCAGCAAAGTTTTCGGCGCCGCCATCCTCTCGCGTGCCGACCTAACCCCTCTCACGGTCTCCACCAACGACGAGCGTGTCTCGCCCCTCCTCCACGGCGAGATCAACTGCATCCAGCAGTTTTTCACCACCGCCCCATCCACCGCCGACCGCCCGGACACAAAGGACTGCATCTTCTTCTCCACCCACGAACCCTGCTGTCTCTGCCTGAGCGGTATTGCCTGGGCTGGCTTCCCCGAGGTGTACTACCTGTTTACGTACGAGGACACGAGGGATATGTTTGACATTCCGCATGATATCAATATCTTGGAGGAGGTGTTCCGCGTACCGGTGGAGGGGGAGAGTGAGGAGGCGAGGAAGAGGAGGCCGTTGTATAATAGGAGGAATAAGTTTTTTGAGGCAAGGAGTTTGGGGGAGTTGGTGAGGGAGATTGAGGATGCGGAGGAGAGGACGAGGTGGGTGGGGAGATTGAGAGGGTGAAGGGGTTGTATGGGGCGTTGGATGAGGCGTATCAGGAGGAAGAAGGCGGGGCGGAGAGCGCGAGTGTGTGGAAGTGAGGGAGGGAGGTTTATGGAGGTTGGGCTTGGGGGTGCTTTATATGCTGAGGGGATTGGTATTACAGGCAACTGTCGTCCGAGGAGGTTTGAGTCCCTTAGGCCGAAGCGGCTGGCATAGTCGGGGGGTACACATGTTAGGGCTCTTCCCACAGGCTTTCAGCCGTAGAGGATATGGCCTGCTCATGCGAGGCATCACTCTTCCCTGTGCCTGGTGCTGTAAAAATGGCTCCAGAGCCGTCGAGAATTGAAGTTGTCTTCCGTATGTTGTGCATAGCTCAGATCCCAGCCAAACGGAGGCAAATGCGCCTGCAACAATGCAACAGCGATCAGCAACATGCACCCAGTTCACCATTCGTTACATTCACTCCCTTGACCCTGATCATGAATTTTCCATCAACAAACCGGGATCTCAAGTAGTCGCTGGCCATGACGTCGCGTGGTTGCAAGGGGTCATTCCCGGCGCCAAACGCGGGGTTGCGCCGTTGCGGGGTATTTCCCCTGCTTGGTTCAGGAACCATCGCTGCCATGGAATCCTCGACAGTAGCATCACGGGAAGAGATTACCGCTTTAGAGGAGCTTTAGAGGTGTATTACTGCTGACGTCAACCAGTATCAGGAACGATCATTAAGGAACCCGTATCGTATGGTTCATCCTGTCCTGGGAGACACTGGGGCTCCTGTCTCGAAAAGCAGCGAGCTCCTCGGACCTTGCCATTCAAAGTACCCCGCCCTGCACCCCAGCTGCCCACCCCGCGCCGTGACAACCCCGCTTCAGCTGATGCCGTGAGGGGATGAAGAACCAAGAGGAGGGAGTCGTGCTCCCTTCAGCCTGCAGCGAGGGTCCGGTCAACTCTTCGTCGTGAACAAAGACATTGACTGCAAAGTCGACAACTCGCGATCCCAAACTCGAATCACCAAGGCAAGAAAGAATATCCATGCCCGGGCCACGCCGAAACCACATGGCAATTTGGGCTGCTCCGCCCCCTCTCTGCTCGAGACATCCGTGGGCACCGGCGAGATACGCGGCCATTATTACCATTCCCCAACGGTCGGCGCTGTGGTGTGGTAGTGCATGTACGGTGCGTGGGATACTGTCCGATTACTGAGAGGACAACCACCCACTTAAGACAGGAAACTTGTCTTGGGGGCTGTTGGTGTTGCGCAAGCACGTTGCCTGAACACGTTAGCTGAAGGGTTTTACAGATAGAGGGAGGGGAGTGTCCCGAGCAAAGCCCCGATCCCCACCCTATCTTTTCCTTTCCTGCTTGGAAATGCCCCAAATGGAGGGGTACCATTCATCCCTCTCCCAAGCCTCAACTGGTGTTCACACCACTTTACTGCGCCCGGCCAACGCCGACTCCCTCGGCGCCCACAGAGGGAACGCTGACAATGGGGGGACGCCACACCGTCATGCCTAAAAATAATTGGATCTTGCATTCCCTTTCCCCACCTCCCCCTCTGCAACCAGGCCGTTTTTGTGGTGTGTGGACTAGCAGCCTGACTTTTGCTGGTTGGGCTGCAGTGCTGCTTTGTTTCTGGAAGATGGGGTGGGCTGGGGCTGAACGGCAGTGGGTGATGTCGTGCAGGTGCAGTGGAGGCGATCAGTTTGAGACTTGGGGTCGGGGTTTGAGTGGTTCGATGGGAATGGGGTGGCATCGCGAGAACAAAGCCGTCAATCACCATTGTTCACGGCTCGGGACACTCCAGTCCACAAGCTGCAGCTGCTTCACTGAAGCCCTGCTGGGCACTTCACAGGCAACGGGCACAGCAGTTACCGGGTGTGAACACCATCTGTGTGTGCTGAGTCCGTGAATGTGACACAGAAGCGGCACCTCCCCTTGATTGGTTCCACGGAGGATAGCCGCCCGCACGACCTCGACCGAGCACAAAAGCCAGGTTTAGAAGAGAACCTTTGTGAGAGTGCAACCATTCCGTTTTAAGAAGGCAAAGTCATGGTAGTTGTTGTGTGTGGGGGCTCTGTTCTAACTGCTAGGATGCAGTTTTGAGAATCTTTTCTCAAAATAGCATTGTTTGGGTTTGTGAACAACCTTATAACGTTAGTTTTGTCTATAGGTAGATTTGCAACAACTCGGCGTAGAATGGAGCTGTAACATTGCTTTTATATTTTGACCCAGTTGGAACTTTTGTACCCAGATACTCCCATAGGTTCAAATGTAAAAGGTTGAAGCTAGTTCAAGACCCTTTCCAGAGTCCCCAATTATGGCAATAATATTACAGATCTGTATTCCGTATTTTACTGGCTTTTGGAGTTGGCTTGTCGTGCATGGCTTCAGGAGACGTAGTCAACGCTCTCAATACATAGACCAAAAAGTAGAGTGAGGATAGGTATAGAACGCCATGGGAGACACAACACAGAAACAATAGAGCGAGTCTGAGGTGCACACAAGAAAATTAAAAGAACCTACTGCAGACCTGTAAATAACCTCAGTATTTTCCAAAAACATCTTGCCAGAACACAAATGAGTCGTAGACTCAATTTGAGATAAGCAGCTTTGTAAGAGGCTCTTTGAATCGACAAGTCCTCCCTCCTAACCAGGACAAAGAGACGAGGAACTCCCGAAAGAAAAGACAACAAGGACGGCAAACAGCGCATCGCCGGCTCGGCATTTGGCACTTCCTGCGCCGCTAACTCCGGTGGAAGTGGCACAGAAACTTGGAATTGACTCGAGCTGAATACCCGTCTTCTGGTATTCCCTCCATTGCAACATACTTATCCTAGGAAGACAAAGCCAAAGCAGCTGCCAAAACTCCGGAAAAAAAATAGAAGAACTCGCGGGACACAAACCACATTTCAGGGAAACAACCTCGCAAAAAACTGTGCTCGCACAAATAACTCGGCCACCTCAAAATACAAGCAAGCACCTGGCAATGAAGGGCCGTGTGCCTACAAACCACGGGACACGACCTGCGACTAGCGATACCGTGTCCAGTAGCACAGTGACACGGCGGCAGGGACCCGAGAATGTTCCCTGCATTTCCAAGACTCGAGCAGAGTTTGCTCCTCGTGTCGACCCTGCTCTAGGTCGCACCCATTAGCGGTTTGGCTGGGAGATACGGGCCCGATCTCCCGGGCGCGAGTTCGAGCCAAGAAATAAAGAAGGTTTCCGGAACCGGTCCGTAGGTGGTTGTCTCAGCTGAAGAAGCCCCAGCCCCTTGCGCTCAGAAACAGGCCACGAGAACTGGCCGCGGCGCTCGACTGCCGTGCGTGGTTGCAACGCGGGGCCCTCGCAGCCATGGCGTAGACAGAGGTACTTTGATGCAGTTGTGATGCCGTCCCGTAGCCAGCCCGCAGCTGCAGGAAGCGTGCCAAGGTACTGCCAGGACGACATATCTCACTATACTCCGTAAAGTCCAAAAAAATGCATCACCGTCCTCCGTCATCAGGCACCCGCATCACCCGTCCACCCCATCAACGCTCCCCGCTCAGCAACTGAGCCACTTCTACCCCCGTCCTGTTCCTGTCACAGCGCCGTCAAAACTTCAGAGTCAAACATAGGGCGAATGTCACTAGAAAATTCGTAAAAAAAGATAGCAACTCTTAGACATCTAACTCGGATACCGGGAGTCGAACCCGGGGCTGTTGAGAGGAAAGCAGTCACTCCTGAAGAAGTGAGAGTCAACGATGTTACCGCTACACCATACCCGATCAAGTGAGAATCGAATGTGGTTTCCGACAGGGGTTGCTGGATGGGTTTGGGAGTTGGTGGGGGGGCTTTTATTCTCGCATTTTTGTTTTGTTTGTGGGTGGGTGTGGGCTTGGTGAGAGTTCCACTTGGTGGTGGGAACGGATAGGCTGGGTGTATGGAGTGGATCCAACCTTTCCTGCCGGGCACCCTCTCTGCCGATATTGATGAGGTCAATGTTCGTATTTCTCGGGCGTGATGAGATGTCTGTCCGAAAAGAAGAAAAAAAAAATCTAACCCGGCAGTGGAGATGCGTGGCTGGAGAAACTTGCGGCACGGCAATTCTAGCGCTTCTTTGATGTGATGATCCATCACTTTGACGCGCGCCAAAAGTGGACTTGCGAATGGAACATCATTGGAGAACCGCAGGGCGCTGACTCCACGTTGAAACCCCACCTGTAGGGCTGCGCGAGCATCAGCAAAAGCTGATGTTGGCCAACAGGGACGGACAACATCCTTCTCGCTTCCTGTTGTTGAGGAAGACTTCATTGCGCGACATTGCTAGGATCTGCGACACGAGAAACTTGCTTATTTTACTGGACCTGTAAAGTGGCTCAGCTCTCAAAATGGAAAATGAAAATACCACCACCCAGCAGATAAACGGCTCAGCGCAATCTATCCAGTCCCACAGCAGCTGTCGTGCAATCCTCAGTTCCCCCTCGCTGTGTCACCTGCAACCTTTTTGTGCTGAACTGGGTTCCTGCACCAACTCCCGTCTGATCCCTAGCCCCAGCGGCTGGCTGCTTGCAGGTTGTCGTTCGTGGCCCAGGGTTCGGACGGGTTGCTGCATGCTGCAGGCCAAGGGTTCGAGTTCCACGGTTCGTCTGATGTCACAGGGGTGCCCGTTCGTCTGGTGTCGGGTGGGTCCTTGCGATTTATCGGCTTGGGGGACGACAGCTCAACGAGCTCAACGAGCTCAGATCTCAGGAGCTTCAAGAGAAATGTCACGGGTGAAGAAAAAGTCAATTTGGGGGATGTTTCAGACTCAAACAAGTCTCGGGACTGGAAGGGATTTGGACCGACGGCAACAGCAGCTTGGGTCGGCTCCAGGCAGCACCGTGTCCGTGCATTGCATCAAGCCTCTGAGCAAGGTGTATGCCCAGGGACAAGGTGAGCGCTCGGTGAGGAGGAGAAAAAAAAAAAGAAACCATCACAACCCTCGCCAAGCATGGCTAATTCTATCAGTGTCTCTGGAAAACAGAGAACTGGCAACAAAACAAAACCGGGGATAATAGGGGTGCAAAACCAACCTTTTCCATTCCTTTGTCCGAGACAAAAGGGATCCAGTTTGCTTGCGCACCAGGAACCAGGCAAACAAAGCCACCACACCACCCCACCACCATACCACACCACCACACCAAATTACACTGAGAAATCCCAAAACAATTCCATCAGGCAACAACAACAATGTGCATTCCGGGTGGGTGTGGGTGTGCGCATTTGTTTCACCCCGACCTCTCCCGCCCCAGTGCCATCATCCATGAGGCAGGGCACGGCACAGACAAGGGAGGACGCAAGCAATGCAAAAAAGAACCAACAAAGAAACGGAAAGAAATAAGACCCTGTCACAAACTAGGCCACCACCTGCCACAACAACGCCTCTTTTCTATAATTTTACGCATTAGGGCTGGGAGTTAGGGTTTGAGGACGATGCCATATGCCAAAATCATGAACATGCACACACGCACACACAAGGCAAGGAATTGTCTTGACACCACCATCTCTAAAAATTATTTTCACTGGGACAGTAATCATGCTATGCAGCAGCCCCGATCCCCCCCATCGGGCCGCAGGCAGAATGTGAACGTCCTGTGGTGGGAACACCACCATCTCACTGGCGGATGTGGCGCGGTTGGGCACACACGCACAAGAAGAGGCCCCTCCCGCTCGCTGCCCGACATGTCACAACATCATTTTGCATTCATTCAAGAGTGATTAGCCAAAAGTTTTTGTGTTTAATAAAAGTGAAAAAGTCAAATAGCCAAAGACATGTTCCATCTAATTGCTACCACTAGTCTATTGTTGTGTGTGTGTGTGTGATCCATCCATCGCACGTGCAAGAAAACAAGAAATTGCAAAGACGAAAAAAAAAATAAAAAATACAAACTCAAAAAATGGGGTATATCCATCCTGTGAAGCCCAGGAGAAACAGACAGACAGAAGACAGAAAGAGATGTGACGGCTCGCTGGAATTGTAGGAGCGCGTCGCGGACATGAGGTGCAAAAACAGAGATGTGACCCTCAAAAAAAAAAAAAAAAAAAAAGACAGCCAACAAACAGATCCATCCATCTTCCCAGAACATCGCCATTAGACTCAGGCTTGCGCCTCCTCCGCCACCTGTGTGAATCCTCCCGCTCTCAAGACATCTGACTACCAGGACCAATCCATGATCCATCCAAAGAAACCGCTTTCCATCCAAAAAGAAAGACAAAAGATAAAAGACAAAACACCATCAAACTTTTAAGTTCCTGTACACCTCCTGCAGCGGACCCAACAGCCCGCCGCGTGATCTTTGCATTCGCATTGCTTGCGTTGCATCCTTGCTTCATCAGCATCGCTCGAGGGGCGAGCTGTGTTGTGGGGTATCTCTGAAAAGACCGAAACAAAAAGACGGCCGCCGTGATATTGCTTTTGTTTGTGCGCGGGACTGCTCCCGACGAGGGTATGTGTATGTGTTGTTGATTTGAGGGCGATAAAAAAGCCGCCCAGACGAGGGAAAATGAGACCATGCCTCCGTATAAAGAGACCCGGAGGATTGAAATGAGCTTCGGAAAGAGACCTAATCGTACAGTTTGGCTCGTGGGTATCCTGGTTTTAGGTTTGTGTTGCTGTTGATGATGTATTGTTATGGTGATGTGAGGTGTCGATGTTGTTTTATGTTTTTGTGTGTGGTGATTGATCATGAGTGTTGTGCGTCAAGGCCAGGAGTGTTAGGCCGGTGGTGTGTTTATTTGCCGGGCTTCTTCAGGATCTCCTCGCAGTTGGTGTCGAAGCGAAGGTTCCAGAGACGGGTCTGCGCGAGGAAGCGCTCCGTCAGGTCGAGCTCGCGGTCGCGGCCGAACAGAGTCTCGACCAACTCGACGCCGGCAGCCTTGCCCAGTGACGAGTCCTTGCGCGGCTTCTCCCGGGAGCGCAGCATGGGCGCCTCGCAGGCCTTGGCGAGCTTCCGCAGCTTGTCGGTCAGGCGGTAGCCGGCCTCAATGAACTCCTCGACCATTTCGCGGTTCTCTTCGGTCCGGATCTTGGGCATGATCTCCTCGGCGCGCTTAAGCTTGCCAGACAGTTGGATCAGGAGCAGCCACATGTCGCCGGCCATCTCGGAGATGGCGGAGCTGGCACCATGGTGGTAGATGGTCCAGTCGTAGATCCACTTGCCGAGGGAGTTGGCATCGAAAACGCTGCCAAGCAGCATGATGGGCTCCTCCGAGGGATCCCAGTTTTTCAAAGAGTACCCGGCGGGGATCCGATGCTTCTTGGCATCGGCCTCTGTGGCCTGGCGGGCAGGGGCGGGCTCCGGCTTCTTGTGCACACTGGCGGCGGTGGGGCGGGCGGTCTGTCCATGCCCGCCAGAGTATCTCTTCTGGGTAGAGCGCCCAGGCAGAACATAGGTTTTGCCGCCGAGATCGAGGTACTCGTCCTCGTCGGATTCCCCGTGAGACACCGTCGTCCGGTAGTTGTAGGAAAATGAAGAGCGCCGCTCGCGCGAGGGACGCGGCGGTGGACCCGAAAAGCTTTGCTTGCGCGGGGCGCGCGAAACACTCACATTGACAGTGGCGTACTGGCCGTCGCTGGTGTACCGGGGAGAGAAGGAAGGTCCGCGGGGGCTGGCGAAGCCAGGGTTAACGCCAGTGGTGCTCCCGTTCCGGAAGTGGGCGCGGGTGGCCGGGCGCTGCGGCGTCGGCGGGTAGTAGTAGGCGGACGCCCGAGGGGAGGGCGTCGGCGAAGGGCTGGCGAACTTGTCGTCGTAAAGGTAATCATGTCCGGGCGTGGACCCGTAGGGCGAATAGTTGGCCATGTTCGGCGGCTCTTGCGATGTTCTTCGAGACATCCCCAAACAAACACTCAGACAAAACAAGTCCTGGAGTCGAAACTCTCTCGTGTACCCCCCAACCTCTGCGAGGGGTGGTTTGCTGCTTGGCTCTTGCTCAGCGCGGAAGTCGTCGTTGGTGGCGCCTTTGTCGGAACGCTGGGAAAAGTGACACCAGTCACCTTGGTCTGTGGTCGGTAGGAAGAGGAGAGGAAAACCGTCTTCTGATTTCGAACATGTCAAGGATCGGGCGCTTTTATATCTCCAGTCGGAGGGTCGAGCCTCAAAGTCGGCGGGCGACCTTGTGGGCAGGTTCTGGAAGGTGCTGGACTCGGGTTAGGTCCAGGCTGAGAAATCGGGTGAAAATCGACCGTGGTGCTTGAGCAGTGTGATGGGATTATATTGGCAGAAGCCAAAGTTGGCAGAAAATGGGAACAGCTGTCTTGACACTGTGCCAGAGCGGCTTGGTATTTGGCCAACGATGTCCCTTGAATCCCTGGGCCGCGTTCAGGAGGACGGCGGTTGTCGTCTTGCAAGGCCAACAGACCGTCCAACCCAGAGCATCAACGAAGCGGAAGAAATGAGCCGGAAGACGGTCGAGGATCCCCTCAGATGATTCACTCAGCAATCATTTATCCTGGCAGGTGTCTGGTCCAGTGAGATGGTGCAAATTTTCGACGGCGGGAAGCCTCCCGGATTTGCGGTGGGCGACTCAAGCCTCTGGCGGGCTAAGCGAAATTGGGCGGCGCCAGGACCCGGAAAGCTTCAGCGTCGGTGAACAGGGGCGTCAGTTGAAAAGCCAACGATCTGTGAAAATTTTTCCCTTCATTCACAAGCAAGCAACCAGGGCTGGCGACTTGGCGGCGATCCAAGGGAGGCTGACGATGTCTGTGTGCGAGGCTGGTGCGCGACCCTGGTCAACGTCGGCCAGTGAC